TCCAATAAACTACAATTTGAGAATCTTCGAAAAGCGTATTTCTATACCAGCTTCCTAGCTATTTTATGGCTTGGAAGCGAAGCGGTCCTCCGACTCAAAAAGCGCCCTTGCCGAGCTTCCCTTCTCCTTCCCGTGCGAGTTTGTGCACACTTTGGAGTGCATCCCTGCACTGCGCATACACACACTGCACACCTACACAGGCATTAATGCAGACAGACATGTGCACACAGACATGGATGACATACTCTCCGCTACAGTGTCCGATATGTTGCTCGTCTGGCGGCAACAGACCGACTAGCCTAGCCAATTGGTGGCTCTTCTTACTGGCCTCAGTTGTGCTGCCAAGTAGGCCAAGTGGTGCCTAAGGAGATGGCGCTGGTTGACCCTGGCATTAAGGCAAGACTGGGCATGAAAGAGGATCTTTGGGGACAGAGATCTGGCAACCCTGTAGCCTCCGCAGCGGGGTTGGCGGCACTTGTTTACTTTGAGTTCCTGTCCATGAGCCGGGGCCCCATGCCATTATTGCCAAGGCATTACTTCCCAGTCCACTTGATCCAGCCGGCCCCAGCCTCGTCCGTAGCTGTGGGTGGTAGCAACCGAGGCTGGAAGACGCAGCTGAGGGGGACGGTAAAGAGGCACCTGAGACGCCGTGACGTCGTGACTAGAGGGCGCCGTAACTGAGAGACGGATAAGTCAATGACACTTCACATGACCAGCATAGATTGGGTATGTGATGCCGGTGTTTGGTCCTAAGACTGGTGATACAGCATTGAGGGAAACGGGGCCTATGGGGGACGAGTGGTGGAATCGGCCAGAGCTGTAAGAAACTGGGGAGATTCAGTTAGAGGGACGATCGTTTTAATTGCATGATGACCCGGGACTTTTGTCTTGACATGCTCGAGTTGGCGATATGGCGTTATCAGAATGGAGCATGTCAAATGACATACTTAACTGTTTGGCATGTAGATCTAAGCGCAGAGCCTCTTGGTTTTGTGTGTCTTTCTTATCTGTTTTACCCAAGTGTCTTAGAGTTCTTATGTGAGGGTGTGCATGTGTATGTGTGTATGTATATACATATCTTTGTATATATGCATGTTTGCATATATATGTGTGTGTGTATAAAGTTGTGCTTTTGTGTGTGTGTGCACCTCATAAAGATACGCATCCAGTCCATTTGGGCTGTTACACTCATGAATATTATCCGTTTTGGAAGGCAGTAATGAGCACATCGCTTGATACCGACGAACGTTTCTCCCTATACCATCAATATCGTCCTAACTATTGAGTCTTAAACTCACCGTTCTCTGAAAGAATCATAAGGACAACCTGAGTACCAACCCTCCACACAGCTCCGATTACTGTCTTCAGGAGGGGC